CTACAAAAGAATCAAGTTGCTGTCATTAAACCCCACCAACAGACCATTTCACAAGCGCATCTGACACCAACTACCCCTAAAAGGACAAGGCACGTTATGAGATGAAAACTAGTTTTTATTTATTGTGTTAAACTTTATAAAATGATTTGCAATTCTACATATAGAAAAATAACTACCCTGTGGGAAAACATATGCAAATTAGCTTCACTACCTCTAGACTACTCTTCTTGATCCTAGATGGCTTCACAAACTAGCAATAGCAGCTTGTGGCAAATGGAGAAACAGCAAAGTCCAGCAGTGAAGTTGTGATTACTAAAGTTGAACTGTTAGTTCCACTAATCTTACAACTTTTCTACATTTATCGGTCATACATTACTCCTTTCTACAGGATAAACACCTAGCCAAGTTCTGAGAGACAAGTGAAATAGAAATTCACATGTATAGTTGTCTGTAAGATGAATTCAATAGAAGGCAGCAGAGGAATTGGGAATTACTGAAAAGTTAGATTTAGTCCAGGTGAAGCCAAAATTTTTCTCCCAATGTTGACCACTCTACAGGATGAGAGTAAGTTAACAAAACTCTTCTTACTTTTCTAGGAGTGATTCTAGCTCTTCTTGCAAAGAGCTGAGCTGCTCCTTTTCTCGGTCTTCCTTTTGTTTGAGCTCATCCAGCACAGCCTGAAACCTGTTCTTGAGGGCCAGGTTTTCCACTTTCATGATGAGGTCTTCCTGCCGTTTTGCCCTATCCTGGGTCTCTTGGAGCTTGCCTTTTATGTTATCAATCTGTTTCTGAATTCCCATAACCAGCTGATTGGTCCCCTCATTTTCTTGGTGCTGTTCATCTGACGTATTTAGCTTGTCCTGTAGCTGTCTTTCCAGATCTTCTTCGGTGTCGATGATGTTTATATCTTCCTCATCTTGATGCTGTGTCTCATCTTCATCTTCACTGCTGCTGCTGAGGTCATTGAAAATCTCCCGAAGCTCATCATGTTCTAATGAGTCATGGCCTTGCCTGTGGCCAGACATTCCTGGAGAAGAGATATCAAGGCCTTGATTCTCTGTTTCTTTTGTTTCATCTTCAGCAATTATTTCCCAACGGGTACTGACAGCTTCAGCATCTGTACTCAGCAAACGCTTCACTTCTTTTTCCACATCTGGAGATTCAATATATTTCTTCTTTGCTGTCTTCCGGAACCTTCTCTTTCTGACATTTTTTAGAGGCAGAGTGATTCCATGGTTCCATATGAACTTCTTCTCTTTGTCCTTATCCTTTTTTTTGCTTGCTTTGGGATCAGCAGCAGCAGCACATGCAGCA